GAATTATTTGCAGTCGTTAAGCTTTTTCTTCCCCCAACTCTACGATACGGAGTTATGTGGGGATCACCTTGGGGTTGCTGAGCAGTTTAAAATTTGTAGACTTGTAGAAGCCCTGGCTTATAAGGACTTGAGAGCTCGTCTGCGTCTGGCAGACGTGGTCCTGCCTTACCTCGGCCCGGTGGTTGACTAGACCAGGACATAACTGTCTTCGTTCTTTTCCCAGGCTTCGCTGCATCACCACATTTCTGTAGCACAGACGGACGAACTTCTCCCTGCCAGGAATTCTCAGCGGGTTCCACATCCTCTTGACTCCAAAACCACGTCTGATGTTTTAAGGTAGATTCAGACCTCAGCAACGTAGCAGTGCAGTTTGAAATTACAGACTTGACTTCTGTTTTTCCAGGGTGTTTAATTAAAGTGTGGTAGTCACGGACGAGGTGCTGCCTTCTGTGCAGTGGAGCACTGTCTGGCCAGGGAGAGCCACAGTCCCTGGTGCGCGCACAGGCCGGACGGTGGGGCATGCTTCGTCACCTCCGGTCCTCGTGCCAGGACAGTCGCCCCTGCGTCCTGTTCAGAGGGAGCATTTCATGGAGATGAAAACAGAGAGAATTAGGGGGTGGGTAGGTAGAAGACAGTCTGGAACTTAAAGCACTCGACTTTGGAAGCCTTTTCTACCCTGCCTGACATAGATTACATAGATGAAATTCAGACAGACACAAATTCCATTCCTGGGAAATACCTCCCAGAGTGTGTACTGATGCTCCTGCACTTCAGCAGGTTGCAAACATCCTTCCTGTACCTTGAGAAAATATGCAGGCTTTTTTAATGTTTTCTAACTCTTAAATGATTTGAAAATTATAGTTAAGCAGGAACCTGAACTTGACTTTTAGAACAACACTGTCCAGTAGAAATACAATGTGAGCCACATATATAATTAAAATTTTTCTAGTGGCCACAATATAGTAGTAAAAAGAAATCAGTAACGTTAATTTTAATAAACTTATTTATATCAAAAATACATGGTAGTAATGTCAAAATACCAAAAAAATATTATTTCAACAGTAATCAATGTAACAATAGTCACGAGCTGTTATTTACATACTTTTTTAATGCTCAGTCTTTGAAATCCCTGCCCCTGTTCTCTGCAGACAGCCTGTCTGAATTCACGTGTGGCCGCTGGTTGCCGCAGGGGCGGGGCAGGGCTAGCAGAAAGGCGAACCGAGGAAACAAACTCAAGGGCAGAGCCCAGGCCAAGCCAAGGAATGCCCTTAGGCTTTCTTCCTGCCGACACCTGGCACGTTGGGACTTCCGGAGCAGCCCCACTTCTGTCACGCCTGGTGCCCTGACCCGTGTGTTCTCTCCGGCAGGTTTGTTTTGGAGCAGTACAACGCTCTGTCCTGGCTCACGTGCAATCCGGCCACCCAGGACCGTACCTCCTGCCTTCCCGTCCACTTTGTGGTGCTCACTCAGTTGTACAATGCCATCATGAATATACTCTAATTGGAAAAGCACTTGTTCTCTCTGGCTCAGTTCCTTCTCCCCGCAATCTCAGTCCAAGGAACCTGCTACACTCTGCAAATGCCCCACATCCTCCTCCGAGACCACTCTCCACAGTCCTGCACTGTGATTACTTCTCAGCAGGCACGTGTCATTTCTGCAGTGTTCATTACCAGAGTGACTCACTGACACTTCTCTCGTGGAACCTGGAAACTTCCATAAGCAGTGACTTTCAGCCAGTGTTACGGTGTGTGTGGCCCCAAACCACTGGTCCACAGGAAGTTTTTTTGCTGTTGGTTTTTAAGAGGGAACCAGAAGAGACAGTATCCTTTTGCACAAGAGTCTGTGTTTTCAGTCTCTGTTTAATAAGGGCAGTTTAGCCTCTGGATGAAATCCTCTAGTTACTGGTGTATGGCCTGTGGGTTACCTGAACTCCATCATCGGGGACTCGTGAAAACTAAGAACCAGCTCAAGTACACGCTTTCATACTGGGGTTTCTGTCTCCCTAGTGCTCCCGTCTAGGCTGGCACGAGTGCTTTGGTTGACTTCATACCTGTGTGTAGATACAAGAGGTCTGGAGACATCTTCATTTTGTTTATTTATTTTAACTTGTTTTGTCATATGGTTTCTGTGACTTTCTTTTAATTTTTTTAACTTCATGAGGACCAGGTACAGTAGCTGAAACCCAACTCAGATCCACCATAGGATTCTTCAACTACATACCTCTGTCCTAGAAGCCGGAAAAGGAGTGGAAACAAATGGGGGAGATCATGCCTACAAAGTAATATATTCAAAACCACCCAGCAGTAGGTGTTGAGAATAAGCTGGGTAAACATTCTGCCATATTCCTTATTCAAAGTGGCCAGCGTTTCATGAAGGATAACATTTTTATACAGAAGGCAGTCAAGTTTAACCCAGAGCCATGGAGGCAAGTACCTTCATTAGTTTTATATAGTCACAAAGGAAATATATTTTCTAGTGAATTCTTACTGAAAGCCAGGTCTCTCCTCTCATTAGATCAAAAGGGACTCATGTACATATCACAATCCAAAGTGTCTGCTCATAAAATCAGTTATAAATATGGTGAAGTTTTTCTGGACCATAGGAATATTATTTCAAAGAAATATTGCAACTTAACCATTAAATTAGTACTTGAAGTTGAGCCTTCATGGTGGGACTTTTAAAAAAAAAAAACAAACCACGCCTTTTTAAAGCATTACGGCTAATTGAAGTGTTTTATGACTCCTCATTCCAGGCCCGAGAGGGTTGTCTCTAAGACTCCGTCTCTCCCCCTGCGCTGCCGTGCGTCTGTGAGGGCGCCGGGCGTGGGCTTCCCTCCTGTGAGCCACTCCGGTCAGGCTGTTGAGCTCTAGTCGTCTGTGGAGAGAATCATGCAAATTTTTAAAGTTCTTCCAAGAGACTTCCATATCCTGGTTATTAAACAAAAAAAAAAAAGGAAAAATGTAATAACTGATATGATTTTGTAAAAGTATTTTTCTTGAAATAATCTAACGTTTAAAACATTATATTAAAAAAGTTGTGTGGTGGGAATGTGAAAGCAGAGAAGTAACTTGTAAATGGGTAATTTTGTTCTCTGTGCCACCAATTGATGGGGGGGTGGGTTTGACTTTCACAATGTATAGGTTAAAAAAAAATCTGATATATCAAACCATTTGTATCTAATATGTACAGTGTAAAATTGACTTTAAAAATATTGCAGTGCTATTTTTTCTTAATCAGAAAGGAAAAATTCTCAAGGCCTTTTGAAGAGCATAAGATGATGAAGATTGTAAACTTGTATAAAATTATCTTGGTGAGAAGACAAATTGTAAAGTAGATATTTGTAATCTTTTACCACTTTGGGGTTGCTTTTTTCCCCAGAATTCATCAGAACTTTGAATTTTTTTTTAAATGGGCTGTTTTTAATGCAGGGGCTTTTCTTCCCTAGAAACCCAATTCTCAGCAAAAAAAAAAAAAAAGAAAAACCCACAAAAAAACAAAAAACCCCTACAAAAATTTTAAAAAAAAAAAGGCAGCAAAGGGTAGTTTTCATCTGGTGTCTTTTATTTAAGTTTTTTAAGTTAAGAAAAGCTGGTGACATATTTATACGTTTTTGTGCAAAAATAAATGAATGGCAATAGATTTTAAAAAATCTTATTATGTACTTCTGTGTGAAAAAGTCTGTATAATAATCCCTTAAATATGCATTATTTTACTTGTGAGTTTTTTACTGAATTAATCTGAAATGTACAAGCCCTGGATTTGCTACAGAGTGAGAACTTATTTTATTTTTTTTTTTAATTTTTAATTTTGGAAATTCTGCAGAAATCGGAACTCTTACCATGGTTTGAACTAAAAAGGGGAAACAGGGAGGGGAGAGGGGTGGGATTGTCCAGCATGCTTGTATGTATATTTCAGAACCTTTTTTAAATGTAAAAGCTGTACATTTCTGGGAAGTTCTGAATTTCTTTTGTTTCCTTTTTTCCTTCAGGCATTTTGCAGTGAGCTTCTTTTATATATAGCAAACAATTTGAAAGAATACAAAAATATGTGAAGTTCATTTAAAAAAACTACAGTATAGCGCTGGTACAGTACACTAAAAGACTTTGATAAAAAGAAACAATACTAAAAGGCCTCCATTTTAAATGTCATTCATATATACCTTGTGAATGAGAGCTATATACTTTTACACACTTTTTTAGAGGAATAAATTATTGAATTACTGAAATGTTGAGTGGCTTTTTTCCCCCTCCATCCTGCCTTTGTAATAAAAATGATCTACACCTATTCAAAAGGTGTTAGGTATTATGGATTGAACAGTCCTTGACCAGGAGCCAGGCTCGACCTTTCAGAGTAAAATTTCACTCCCCTAGTCACCACATCTAATAGGTATTCTCAGATGGTGTTCACGTACTCCAAGGTATAAGTGCATCCCTAGGTCAGTTTGTAGAACACACACACGGCATTGAATTTGGAGCCCTGGTGTTTAGTTCCTTAATTGTTTTGAGTAGATCACATCTAACAGTGTCTCCTACCTCGTAAGACTTTGGTCAACCCTAGAACAGATTACCCGTCTGTTTGCCACTTCCTTTCTCTTCATGGTCCCAGCCAGTTTCTTTTTGATATTCCTTAGAAATAACACTTCCATCTCTCTCTGCTGTTTTCCCAGTTCCCAGGCTGGTGACAGCAGTATGCCACCTAACACAACACATGCAAGCAAGGCACTCGTGACTGCCTGGCTCCCACTTCGTTGCTCTTTCCTCTTCTGGTCCATTCAGTAGGAAAAACCACCCTAGGTCAACACCAGGATGCGGCAGAGCCTACTGTCAAAACTTTTAATCTTCCTCCAACTCTTCGGAATTGCATGATGTTGTGAATCTGACATTGTCTGGATCTGGAGCTAAGACTACTCAACCTCAGATACTTCATCCACAAATGAGGGAGGAGGGTGAGTCCATGAGAAATGCTCTGCAAACTAAAGAGCGTGTCCATGTTGTTACTATTGTACTATGGAAGAAGGCTGAGAAAAGTGGGGCCATTTTTCTGTTAAAAGATAGTATTGGCCTCTGTCTCGTCCAGTTACCACTGTCTTGTGTATAGTTCTTAGCACTCCTGATAATCTGCTTTATTTAGCATTATTACCAAGAACCATGTATTTCCTAGATCCTGATGTAATCAGGTCAGTCCAATGATCCCTGTGTCTCCTGAAAAAGCAGAATTAGGTGGTATTTTTCCAAGCAATTTATAAGCTTGTATTCTGTCCTCATACAGTGGATGACACTTTATGCAACAATTAGTGAATGTTAGATTTATTTATATAAGAAACTTTGTTTTTATAACCACTATTAAATTAGCTGTACCAATTTGGCCACAGCAGCTAAATCTCTATGAGGTAAGAAAAACTGTCAAATGGCATTTTAAGTATTTTGCAAATTAGATGTAGATAAATCTGACGTGGCACTCAAGAACCACCAGCCTCCAGCCATTTGCACTGCTCAGATTCCACAACACCAGTTCACCCCCTCCAACGATGCCATCACATAGCTTTATGTTCCTATTTGGGAAGTCATGGAGCCAGGGATTTGTTCCCAACAAATCCAACAAAAATCTTTATAAAAAGTACACTTTGCCAATAGAAGTTTTTAAAGGCAGATTTTTCATATTATCTTGTTATGTTATATTGATGTTAAATGATTCACTTGTTTACACCCCCTTGACAAGAAAAGGTCACTTTAACAGTAATTATTTCATGTCATTAATACCTAATGAGAGGCCATTAGAAAACTCTGTTGTGCCGGGTAATTGCGTGGTTGTTAATATTTGCCCTGGGCACCTTACTGTGCTTGGAACCAGATTTACCAGCCTCCCACCACTTCACTTAACAATTCTCAGGTCACCGTGAAAAAAAGTTAAAAAATAAAATTCTCAGGTCAACTTTAAAAAAAGAATTTTTGACATTGAGCACTTCTGGCAAGAACTCCAAAGTAATGAAGCAGGTAAAAAACAGAAGTTGATGAGTAAGAAAGCTTGGATAAGGAGAAAGGTGCTTGGATAAGACTAAAGTGTTGATTTTTCTCTCTAGATGTTATTTTCTCTACGAGCATTAGTTACCAGGGAAATGGGAAGATGCAGACAGACACTGGGGGCAGTCTCTTTTTTTTTTTTAAACAAGAATGGAAGTGAGAAAAGCACATTTTGTTTTAATAATCTAAGAACAGCATTTGGGCTGTTGTTACTCAACACTCTGTTCAGATAGAGGAGTTAGTCTGTTGAAGTGAGCTTAAAATCACCCAAACAGAATCGCCCAGTACTTAGAACAAGCAAACATGCTGAAATTAACAGCACTTTTCAGCGTTTCTCTGGCTGGCTGCTGCCCATTTTATGCCTTCGTTGCCTTGCTAGCAGGTTAGCCATGTTTCAGTCTACCCATTTCATGAAACCACATGATATTCAGGAAAATTGGCACCGCCAGAGCTCCGATCAGAGCGCTGACAAGGAAATGTTTGCTGTGGGGGTAGTCAGTTTAACATGTAAGAGAGCAATTGTTTCATTTGAGCTGGAATGTGTCTCAGTAAGTATTTACAAATTAGCTCCTCTTATTTAAATCTTATTTTGTTTACTTAGAGGTCTTGATGTAGCCCTTATTAATTTATATGATTATTTACATAAATAATTTCCTATCTGCCTCCCTTATTTAAGTATGTGACTTTTAACTGTAGAAGAGGGAATGTACAGTTATACATGCACACACCAATGTGTTTCTTTCCTGTTGGTATCTCGTATCACCGAAAAGCTTAGGAAGTTAGCTCCCTTATCAGGTCTAGGGATCAAGGTCATTTTTGTTTCACAGCATGAACTGATGACCTTCCAGTCGTTTCTGTGACACAGGAGAGTTAACCCCATGTGACAACGACTTGAGATTGGGCTGACTATGTATCTTGGTGTTGATAAGAGCAGGAGCCTAGGAAATACTTGTTTTACATAGATTGTTGAAAGGGTGGATCGCACCTCAAAAATCTGAAATTTACCAGCAAATTCATGACATTCTGCTGCTTTTGGGGTGAGCAGGAAATCTATATTTTATGTATTAGAAAATACAAGAATTTCTTTATCTTTATGTTGTTGATTTACGTTTTCTATTTCTTATGTCAATTTTGGCAATTTAGATTTTTACAGGAGAAAAAATGAGTTTTTCCAGCGTATTACTATGCAATTGTGCAGAGTAGTCTCTTAATTCTAAACCTGTTTTTTTTGTTTCTTTTTTTCGGTAATGTATGCTTCTTCTCATTTGTTTCTAACTATTTATGCGTTGGTTGTTTTTTTTCCTTGATTGATTATTCTAGCAGTTGCTGTTTTTCAGTTTTGTTTGATTTAAAAAAAAAAAAACAGCTCTTGGATTTAACAATTCTGTTGTTTTTATCCTGGCTTTTAATCTTGTTCCTTTTCCTAGTTTCCTTGAGGGTTTTGTTTTATTGTCCTTGAATCTTAATTGCCTGCTTAGTTAATTTATTTTCAGTTTTGATGATACAGGCATTTATAGCCTGAGGGCTTCTGGATTTGTGCAGCCCTCCTCAAATTATACGCAACATTCTCCAAGTGCTTGCGTTTCTCTGGGGGAGGGGTCTATGTATCAGATTCTCAGAGGTATCTGACCCTAGAAGGGATAGACACCACTGCTCTGGGACTGTGTTCAAGCTGACTGCATCCTACAAGTTTTGATGTTTAATGTTTTCATTTTTAGACTCAGTGTTTTCTTTTCTGATCTGCCTTTTTTTTTAATAAAGGAAAGTTCTCTTTGGATTTCAAGTCTCTTGGACTGTAATTGTCTCTTACAACATAATCTATTAATGATTGGGTTTTGTAAACATTCTCTAAAACCTTCAAAGCAAGTGT